TGTGTGTGTGTGTGTGTGTGTGTGTGTGTATGTGTGTATGTCTCTGGTCAAATTAAAATAAATGAAAATATAAATGATTATTTAAAAAAACACACACAATATTTGGCTAACCAGAATATTTACTACTATTGAACCAGATGAAATAATAGAGATGAAATAAAAAAGATGATGCGGGTAGACTCTAGACATTGAACTCTCCTCCCCACTCCCTCCTTTTCCTATCTCCCTGTGCCCAACTGCTGATCTGGTCTTTGCAAACATCTCATGACCATTCCTTTACTTAATGGAATAGGGTCACAGCCAGGCTGTTCTGGAGGTAGGCAGCCCCCTCCCACACCAGTGTCCCAAGATCAGAGGCACTAAATTAATGGACAAGCCCTGATGATTCTGCTAATCAATAACCTGGCCTTTTGTTATAATCCCCAACAATATATGTAGAAACTAGACCCCAGTCTTGAAGATGGAATCTGGAATCTGCAGATCGTATAGGTGAGGTACGTACTCACTGATCCTAACGTATGTAACCTGAGCCTCTGCTCAAGGACAGAGCACTTCTGGTTGTCAATGGAGTATCCTTCCCTGGTTATGTAAGTAATAAACTCATGACTTCCCTCTGTTGGACCTCTAAGTGTGTTCTTTGGTGTTGGTAAACACTACCTGCAAGCCCTCTCAGGTGTGGGGCTCCCCCAATTCAGATGAGAACAAACGTCTTAACAAATACAGTGACAACAGATATACCTATAGAAAATAGATATTTTAGGGACCAGCAGATGGCATAATGGCAATGTCACTGGCCTCCCATGTGGTTCAAGTCCTGGACCCAGTGGCTTAAACTCAGCTGGGCACCTGTGCATGTGTGCCCAAGATCCCGAGAGGAGAATGAAGGAGAAGGGATTGTGGTATGGCCATACCCCCTGGGGGGGTGATTTTTTGCTTTCTGTCTCTCTGTCTCTCTGTCTTTCTGGCGAGTGCATATGCCCTATAGCAAAAATCTCTCCCCAAAAAGAAAATAGATGTATAGATGTTTTGTAATGACACTGTTAAATATGCAAATTTTACAGTCATCTTACAAAACGGAAACTGATTTGCAAACCATTATTACAACTCTGTAGGACCATTAACATTTTTATCCACCATCCTATTTTCAGAAATATGGCAGTCTATAACATACTCACGAAAAC